GCACCATGCAAGTTAAGACTTTGCTTTTCCCCTTGTCGCTTGTGTTCGCAGAGATACGTGCCGGGGCTTGGGACGTGCTGGCGACGGCTGGCGGTGACACAGTTTGGTTGCGCGCTGCGGCTCCTCCTTGCTGGTGAGCAGCGCTACCCTTCTGGTTGTTGTTGTTGCCGTTCAGCTTCCAGCAGTCTTGAATCATGTGCCCGGTCTTCTTGCAGTACTTGCAGAAGAGTCTTTTCTTGTCCGGTGGCGCTTGAGCGTAAAAGGCAATTTTCTCCTTCTTGTTGCCTCGTTCGTTGTACAGGTCGATTTCCTTCTGCTCGGAGAGAAGCGTGGAGCAGAGGGCAGTCTCGCTAAGAGTGCCTTGAGTGCAAAGGAGGGACTTGCATTGGCGCCATTCCGGGCTCAACCCAGCGAGGATGATGGTGACGAACATATCGTCAGGGAAGTTTCCGCCGCTTTTCCTGAATTGATCTCTCAGGTTCCTGCAGCGGTTGATGTATGGGCCGGCCTTCTCGCCGGGAAACATCTTGACGTTGTTCAGCTGGTTGAGCAGGCGACTAAGTGTCACCGAATCTGTTGCCATGTGGCAGGTGCGCAGGTGTTCCCAGGACTGTTGCGCGGGCGCCCACTCGTTCTTGAAGGGGCGAATGCTCATCTGTTCTTCGGGCGACAGATTCCGGATCAGGACGGTGAAGGCCAGGAGAGATTCGTTGTAGTACTGCGACTTCTCCTGAGGTGAGCCGTTTGCTGGGAAGGGGTATGATCCGTCGTAGTACATCCAGATCTGAGCGCCCTGAGCGAGTAGTTCGAATTCGAAGCTCCACGTGTAGAAATCTTGTCCGTCGAATGGCTTGGTAGTTCTGAGCTTCGACATGGAGAGGAACTTGCTCTGCATTGAAGCCATTGCCTCGTAATGTGTTTGTTGTGCTTGAGCAGATCCTTGAACTCCACGGTTGTCGAAGGTGAAGGATCGCTCAGATCCAGCTCCTTGAGGATCGGGAGGTCTTCGGGCGTAACTCGAGCCGTCAATGCTCATTGGCTGATGGCTCTCCAGTGCGCTGATGCGGGAAATCAGTTGCTCGAGTAGAGCTGTGTCCACGGTTGTCGTAGTAGAGGTGACATTGGTGGAGGGTTGTACTGGATTCTCTCCAGCTTCTCCGCAGTCTGTGCCTGGCATGTTGATGCCCGTTGATGTCGTTGTGGTTTGAAACTTAAGTTATAAAGAAGCTTGTTGGAAGCCCCTTTTGCAGTTCCTATAATCCAAACTAGCTCTCATACCATGTTAGAGTAAAGACCTTGGATAGAATAGGAGGTGCTTTTGGTAGAGTTGGTAGCGGAAGACTTGTAAGAACTCAGATCATAGTGAATGTAAATGACCAAGTTGATTAAAAGATAGAATACAAGAAATATAAATAGTCCTAGTCTAGCCATGTACTCTAAGGGGTACATTCCCTTATTATAACTGTTTTACAGGCAATTCTACAGTGACTCTGACTGTTGCACTACTTTCTTGTTACCGAGTCGCTGCATGTAACCTGTACGGTTACGCCCGTTGCCATTCCTCGATGGTAGGTCAAACGTCGGTCCAGATGGTCAACAGTCGCGACAGTTGACTCTTGCGACTGTTGACCTTCCTGCCGTTGATATGGGCTGATCCGATACTGCGGATGTTGCTGCTTCGATAAGGTCGGGTGCGATACTGCTGCACCTACGGGAATGCCAAGTACAATTCCCTTCATACTCCAACAGTTTTCACTAGCAGCAGTTGAGGGGCTAATTTTATCAGTGTAAATCACCCTGATACACTGATAATCAGGGTGGTTTTTGGTAGTCACACTGATGCCTCAGGGTAATTTTTTCTTGAGCATAATTTTTCCTGATATGCCAGGGCTTATGTTCAAGGCACACTGTCGCCCCAGGGATACCGTTTGTCAGTAAAAATAAATGTTATTAGAAGATCACGGTGAAGTGGCCTGGTTGTTAGGTTTGGCTTCGGAAGGATGAAGACCCGAGATCGAATCTTGTTGCTGGTGTTCAAAACTTAAGTAGAAACACTTCATCAGGGTTCTGAAAATTGTTACACTGCTGCCTAAGGGTAATTTTGTTGAAACCATGAAAAACCCTGATGGAAAATAAATTTCCCAAGGGGTCACACTGATAATCAGGGTTTTGCAAAGGTGCAGGACTGATGATAAGGGTTGCTAAAAACCAAAAATTAGCCCTGGTTGAGATACATATAGCATACCCTAATTGGGTTGTACTCGCTATACCGTATGGCCCCGGATATAGGCGCCGGCCTATTACAGGCGCCGGCGCTTCTATCTGGAGGATGGCGCTTATGGCCGAAACTCGATTATAAGCGCCCCCCCTGGAAAACCATTACTTATTATAAGCGCCCCCCCATTTTTAATTTAAATCTCAGTTTTAATCGGTAACGAAATTCAGTTTTGCAGCGAGTCAAAATTCATTTTCGCTTCGTTTGACTCGCGAAGACCAGACTGGCTGCGCGTCCAGTCAGGATGTGCTGGCATGCCTGCGAAGTGACGCGATTTTGCCCGTGTACAGGAAGCAGAATCGCTTCCGCGCGATTCTGCTTTGTGACGCTATATTATTTCGACTCGTTTGAAATGGCAACAATGGAAGGTACAGTTTGGTACCTTTATAATATAAATTTGTATTTGTCATTATATAAGCGCCGGCGCTTATGGCCGTTATTCAATTACAAGCGCCACCCCTAAAAAAACCGATTCTATTATAAGCGCCGTGGCGCTAATATCCGGGGTTAGACGGTAGAGTACCCCACTGCAGGCTAGACAAGATCGACATTCTGACACACACCCATAGTCAAAGTGGGGTATAATCAGCACAACAAGCAGGCAGAGCAGTAGTTCACAATTATAAGCAAAGCTAGAGGCAGTCACAGAGTGCAAGTGAGGAAGAGGAGAAACTGTGAGGGCAAGAAGATGGGAGGCGACGGCTGAAGCTACAGAAACACAGGCAGCAGGAGTGCGCAGCACTGTCGCTACCAGGCTAAACCCGGACTACACGGCGACAGACGCAGCTGGCTCACTGTGCTCCCAGGAGTGCACACACTGTGGCTACCGGGCACAGAGCCCCGGACTACTCAGGCCATAGGGGGTCGTGGCTCTCTGGACTACTAGGAGTGCTCACACTGTGGCTACCGGGCGCAGAGCCCCGGACTACTCAGGCTACAGGGGGTCGTGGCTCTCTGGACTTCAGGCTCTGCGGACGACAAGTCGGCTACCTCCGGTCAACCTCCCCCAACTGTCCCACACCCCTTTCACACATTCCCTGCTGCACCTCTAGCACTGCTCACACGCCACCCCCCTCATACCACTCCGACGGCTCCAACACATCCACCCCCCTCAGCGGCAGCTGCAGCAGTGGGAGACGGAGGAGGAGGAGGAGCAGGGGACGGCTCACACACCCGGCACCCCCATGCTCTCCACCCCCAAACCCTAACACAGGAGCGCGGGCAGCAGCGGGGGTGGGGCGCGGTCAGAAGCTCGGGACGAACCGCGCGCGGGCTGTACGGGCCGCGCGCGGGTCTGGCGCAGCCCGTACAGGTCGCGCGCGGGCCTGGCGCAGCCCGTACGGGCCGCGCGCGGGCCTAACGCAGGTCGCGCGGGCCGCGTCGGGCGACGGGGGGCGACGCGCGGGTCACCGGGGCAGGAAACCGCCGCGCGCCCCGAGCGCGCGGCGGGAAGAAAAAACGTTGCGCGCTCCGAGCGCACGGCAGGAAGAAAACGGCGCGCGCCCGGGGCGCGCTACAGGCAGTAGAGCAGCGGAAGCATCGGGTGGGGCCCACCCACAGGATCGACCCAGGAGGGTCGACCTGCTCTGATAGCATGTCAGAATAGCAGGCTAAAAACGATAAACAAGAAAGAGGGGTTTTCACTAGCAGCAGTTGAGATACATATAGCAAACCCTAATTGGGTTGTACTCGCTATAGAGTACCCCACTGCAGGCTAGACAAACATCGACATCCTGACATCCCAACCACCCTATGCTGAAGGAAGAAGGGAACTGCCTGTGCACAGTTTGCCTAAAAACTGTAATTCAGGAATGCGAGTGTGGCTACTACGCGAGACTCTGAACTTTTGCCAGAAGCAAATACCTACCTTCAAAAGGTGAACCAGGCTATCCCCGTCACATCGTCCTCCCCCTTGACGCACCGTCACCCTCGCTGCCCCCGTTACCCCGTCGCCATTGCCCTCCCATCACCCTTACCCCTATCCCCTCCCATCGCTTCCTCGTCAGCGTTATCGTGCCCCATTGCGACGCTTCGTTCACCACTCCTCCTATCCTCACACCTTCGACGTAGTCGTGTCCCCACCACTCCCCACTATCCTGAGAGGGGCGCCCCACGTTTCCTCACTCGGGAAGCCCGTGCACACGCCCACGTTTCTCCTCCCCGCGTGCGCTCTTTTCTGGTAAGCCCGCGCGCCATCCTCTCGCCACCTCGCGCGCGCTCCTCTCGCCTCCCGCGCTTCATCCTATCGCCTCCCCGCGCGCGCTCCTCTTGCCTCCCCGCGCGGCCTCCTCTCACCATCCCTAGCGTGCTCCTCTCGCCTCCCCTCGCGTGCTCCTCTCGCCTCCCCTCGCGTGCTCCTCTCGCCTGTATAGCGAAATAAGGTATGTTATCTCCCCGCGTGGCCTCCCCTTACCATCCCGCGCGTGCTCCTCTCGCCTCCCCTCGCGATCTCCTCTCGCCTCCCCTCGCGTGCTCCTCTCGCCTTTATAGCGCGCGAATCTCTTGCCTCCCCGCGCGGCCTCCTTTCACCTCCCCGCGCGTCCGCCACTCGCCGCCCCACGCGTGCTTCTCTCGCCTCCCCTCTCGTGCTTCTCTCTCCTCACCTTACGTGCTCCTCTCGCCTCCCCGCGCGTGCTCCTCTCGCCTCACCTTGCGCGCTCCTCCCGCCTCCCCTCGCGTGCTCCTCTCGACTCCCCTCGCGTGCACCTCTCGCCTTTATAGCGAAATGAGGGTCTTGCCTCATTTCGTGGCCTCCCCTCACCATCCCGCGAGTGCTCCTCCTGCCACCCCTCGCGTTCTCCTCTCCGTTCACCTACTCGTTCTCCTCTCGCCTACCCGCGCATGCTCCTCTCTCCTCACCTTGCGCGCTCCTCTCGCCACCCCTCGCGTGCTCCTCTCGCCTCCCCCCGCGTGCTCCTCTCGCCTTTATAGCGCGCGAATCTCTTGCCTCCCCGCGCGGCCTCCTTTCACCTCCCCGCGCGTCCGCCACTCGCCGCCCCACGCGTGCTTCTCTCGCCTCCCCTCGCGTGCTTCTCTCTCCTCACCTTACGTGCTCCTCTCGCCTCCCCGCGCGTGCTCCTCTCGCCTCACCTTACGCAATCCTCCCGCCTCCCCTCGCGTGCTCCTCTCGACTCCCCTCGCGTGCACCTCTCGCCTTTATAGCGAAATGAGGGTCTTGCCTCCTTTCGTGGCCTCCCCTCACCATCCCGCGAGTGCTCCTCCTGCCACCCCTCGCGTTCTCCTCTCTGTTCACCTACTCGTTCTCCTCTCGCCTCCCCGTGCATGCTCCTCTCTCCTCACCTTGCGCACTCCTCTCGCCACCCCTCACGTGCTCCTCTCGCCACCCCTCGCGTGCTCCTCTCGCCACCCCTCGCGTGCTCCTCTCGCCTTTATAGCGAAATGAGGGTCTTGCCTCATCCCGTGGCCTCCCCTCACCATCCTTGCGTTCTCCTCTCTGTTTACCTACTCGTTCTCCTGTCGCCTACCCGCGCATGCTCCTCTCGCCTCCCCTCGCGTGCCCTTCTCTCCTCACCTCCCGTGCTCCACTCGGACAGGTGGGGTGCTCCTCTATCCTCACCCCCCGTGCTCCACTCGGACAGGTGGGGTGCTCCTCTCTCCTCACCTTGCGTGCTCCACTCGGACAGGTGGGGTGCTCCTCTCTCCTCACCTTGCGTGCTCCACTCGGACAGGGAGGGGTGCTCCACTCTCCTCACCTTGCGTGCTCCACTCGAGCAGGTGGGGTGCTCCTCTATCCTCACCTCCCGTGCTCCACTCGGACAGGTGGGGTGCTCCTCTATCCTCACCTCCCGTGCTCCACTCGGACAGGTGGGGTGCTCCTCTCTCCTCACCTCCCGTGCTCCACTCGGACAGGTGGGGTGCTCCTCTCTCCTCACCTCCCGTGCTCCACTCGGACAGGTGGGGTGCTCCTCTCTTCTCACTTCGCGTGCTCCACTCGGACAGGTGGGGTGCTCCTCTCTCCTCACCTTGCGTGCTCCACTCGGACAGGTGGGGTGCTCCTCTCTCCTCACCTTGCGTGCTCCTCTCACCTCCCCGCGCATGCTGGGCAGAGCCTCACCTTGCGTGCTCCACTCGGACAGGTGGGGTGCTCCTCTCTCCTCACCTCGCGTGCTCCACTCGGACAGGTGGGGTGCTCCTCTCTCCTCACCTTGCGTGCTCCACTCGGACAGGTGGGGTGCTCCTCTCTCCTCATCTTGCGTGCTCCTCTCACCTCCCCGCGCGTGCTGGGCAGAGCCTCACCTTGCGTGCTGCACTTGCCTCCCCGCGCATGCGCCTCTCTCCACACCTTGCGGGCCCCTCTCGCCGCACTGCGCGTGCTCCTCTCGCCTCCCCGCGCGTGCCCCTTCTCCTTACCCTGCGTCCTCCTCTCTCCTCACCTTGCGTCCTCCTCTAGGATGCGTAAGGGGCTTCACCGTCTCTCTCCTCGCTGCCTCCGCATCTCGCAACAGCCTCCGTTGGCGTCGCTGATCGTGAATATTGCCCTCTCACTCCCTTCCATCCCACTCAACTGTCACCCTCCCTCCCTGTTTATCTCACCTTTTTTCCCCCCCCCCATCCCAATTGTTCTTACGCCTCCCTCCTCACAGCCTTCCCACCTTGGGAATCCCACGTCACTATTCAGAATTTCTGAGTATACTTACTTCATATCTGACATCCATCACTTGCCATCCACCGTACCTTGACATCATTTCTGCAAATCCCTCCCTCCCATCCGCACTACCCCCGTCCCCTACTACGCCAGCTCACTCAACCCTTTCTTCTTTTGCTACTCAAGCGCCTGTGCACCCGACGCCGGTTCTTTATATGTGAGCCCTTCCCCCCTCTTTCACAGCCCCTTATCAGTACTGTCCATCACCCCTATCAGCCGTCCCATTGCCATTTTCCTCACTCAACCATCACCCTCCCTTCTCTCACATTAGTTTAGGGTCCCCGCGTCCCACAAGCTCATACGCGAGCACCCTCACTGCCTTCCCATGTTGGTAATCCCCCTGCGTTATACCGAGTTGCAGTGGGTGCCATTCTAGCTCCCATGTCGTCCCCCTTCTGGGTTACCCATCCTCACTCCCTTCCATCCCACCTCTCCCCTCTTCCAGCGCAGCACCCTCGCATCCTGAGTCTCTAAGTAGCCTTACTTCCTATCTGCCATCTCTCCCTTGCCATCCTCCGAGTCACCTTGTAATTAAATCTGCAATCCCCTCTTTCCCATCCGCACTTCCCCCGTCCCCTCCTATTCCTCTCCCTTCCCCATCAGATCGTCACTTCTTTCTTCCCTTGCTTCTCAGCGGCCTGTGAACCCGGCTTCAGTCCTTTGGCTGTAAGTCCACCCCCCTTTATATTCCAGGGCCCCTACCTTAGGAACGGGTTTTGGTTTGGCACCCCTTTTTTCCTTTGCTTCTCCTTCCCAAACCTAAACAGAGTTCGTTCTCATGGTCCTCCGATCCGGAGGACCAACTTTACGGTCTCCTGCCCTCGTACAGCTCCCGGACCTGTCGTTTAGTTCCTGACCTGCCCACCCTCCCCTTCATAGCCAACTCAATTCGGCGACCTGCGTAATCCGAAAGCTCCCCCCCCGCCCCCTCCCCATTCTCTCCCTAACCCCTCCCTCTCCCTTCTTGTTTTTCTGCCTGATGTTCCCTTTTCTCACCCCCTAAACCAGTCCACCTCATCAGCCATGTCATCATGGAGACGTACTCCTCGGAGACGGCTGACGCTTGGATTCAGGGTTGGGGAAGAGAGTTCCGAGGATGATGAGGAGGAGAGGGGTCGGCGACGTGGACCGGAGTCGATGTTCACGGCAAGTACGGGCACCCTTTCAGCCCATACTCGTTCGGTTGCCGCTAGCACAACGCATCCCTTTCCCAGAATTTGAGCTCGAAGAGTTGTGCAACCAACGGGATTGCCCCCACAGGTTCAATATGCGAAAGATCGGTGGTCCATAGCTGAGTTTGAGGAGCGATATGCCAAGCAATATCGTGTTCTTGACGCTTGGGCACGACATTGGCTCGGATTGTCGGATGAGGAGGGCCCCGGGAGTCAGAGAATTAGTGTGGCGAGCATTCTGAGGGTGTGCTTGGGAAAAATCACGGATGAGGATTCTCAAGGTCAACCTATAGGGCCAAAGAACCATCGTTTTCGTTGCTACATTCAATACTCTGCCTTGTTAGGTAATCATCCGTTTGCACAGGTGACTTTGCCATGGCTAATCCACGTTGTGATCGGCTCGCTTTACCCCGAGTCAATGGGCGTGGGTTACAGAAAATGTAGTCAAGGCGATGTGGACTGGTTCAACCGCGAATGGATCATGCCTGACGAGATTGATTTTGGGATGAGGTCAATCGATGCTAGATCAATTGTCAATGTGGCGACGCAGGAGTCTGGAATTTACTGATTGTTAGCACGGGAGGAGGGTTATTGGGAACGACTTACTGTTTACATGCGGTACTCTTTTTACGCAGTCTGCAATAGTGTGATATGTAGATGGATGACCATCACAGCAATGATAACAAGATCAATGAATTAGCCCTATGTGTGCAGTCAAGTATGTTACTTGATGGGGAAGGAATTGTTTCACTTCTCAGCGTGTAGCCATGGGGGAGCGAGTTGCTACATTTGCCTCCACTATTAGTGAAAAAAAGGGCGCATCACGTGCACGGGTTTAGTGCGAGGCAAGCACATGCTTAGCGTTGCACGTGAACACGTGTAGGTGCAGTGATGAATGGGGTTGATGGTGACTTGGCTCATGTGCTGCGCTGCTTGGCCCTGCCCTTGCGGATCTGAGCACAGAGAGAGGCGGGAGGGTCGAGAGAGGTGGAGAGAGGTGGAGAAGGGTACTAGGGAAACAAGAATGCAAAAAGTGGTGCAGAGTGCAAAGGTCAGCGCTGACAGTACACTTGGAAGTGCTCTTCAATGTAGTGCGTGCGGTGCGGACAGAGCAGCCACGGCGAGCGTTCCGTGCACTACGGACAGCATGAGCAATGCAGAGAGGTGCGAACTGGGCCACCACTGGGAGCTTCTTGAGGGCTGCGTCTACCTGATGAGAGGTCACCCTCTCCCCCTATCCATCTCTGCATTCTCTCCACCCCTCACCCTCTCCCCCTACCCATCTCTGCATTCTCTCTGCCCCTCACCCTCTCCCCTTATCCATATCTGCCTTGTCCCTGCCCTTTACCCTCTCCCCCTTCATCTCTGCATTCTCTCCACCCCTCACCCGCACAGCACTGTGGGAGGTGGAGCCAAGGAAAAGAGGTGACTGAGAGGATGTCGAGAAGCTAGAACCGAATGGAGAGAACCGTTCCGAAGAAGAATGGAGGTCTAGATCCGGTGTTTCCTGGTCTACACCGAATGGGAGGGAGGAGAGTTGTTACGTGTAGGAAATCAGAAAGTTGTATGCAGTGGAAATAAGTGAACAAGCGTGACATGAGTCGTGGAGGGGATTGAGTGGATTACAACCAATGGGATTGTGGGAAGGTTGGTTTAGGGTGATTGGCCGAATAGGTTACACACCGGAACCATCGTTTGGGTCTCTAAAACCGGTCTCGATCTCCGCGATTTGAGGGTCCCATGTCACCTAGTATCACATTAGGGAAGATTAAATCAGTCAATGGAAAAGAACAAAAAGAGAAAACACGCGGTCATCACTATGACCCCCTGCACCCATATTATGTACATACCAAATAAGTTGCGACGTGCGCCGTTCGGGGCGAGGTGCGTCGTATGGGGCGGCGCAGCCCGCGACGCGATTGGAGTTCTCAACTGTGTTTCCCCTGATCCGAAAGAAACACCTTGGGATGGCCCGGCAGCGGTGGGAGAATCTGCTTGTGGTGACTCCTCCTCTGCCATCTCTCTTGGAGGTGGGGTGGCGTCCATGTTGGCGGCAGACGCGGCATTTTCGACCCCATCTGTAAATGGTCGCCTCCACTCTCTCAAAATGCCATCAACCCAACTCCAATCCATCGGTCCGAGCACCCGATCTCTCCGACCACGACGCGTTCTTGTCGCATGTCGCACACGTGTGACATATGCCCGAACAACACGGTCCATAATGTTGTTCCAGTGGAGAGCTGTTAACGCCAATCGAGGCGGATAACTATCCTTGAAGAGAATCCGTTTGGGAGCATACTTGAGGATAAGGGAGTGAAACGACTCATTCATAGAATTTGTTGCACCCTCCACGATACATGCGACCTTGGCAGGGCTAAAATGCGTCTCACACCACTCTCGTACGGCCAAATGAGTCGCAGAATTCGGTTCATACACCGCACTCTCCTCACCCCAGTTTTCTGTGACACATCTTGGAACTTCGGTTCCGCCTCTGCTGCACCCAGAATGAAGTCCTGCGAAATGATCCGGTGCAAGGCATAGTTCGGCTGAGACATCCTCAGGGGACCGAGTGTTCCCCGCTCGGGCCATCACCCCACTGCGCATCATACAGTGGTAGAAATGCACAGCAAGACGGTCAACAACGGTGACCTCCTTATCCCTAGCCTCTATCTCTCCCTCACCGTTGACGCCTCCACCGTCTCCACGGCTTGTCCTTCTCCTTTGCCTTCGCCGTCCCCACCTCCTAGGAGTTTCTTCTTCCGGGGCAGCCCCTACGCCCTCGTCCTCCGCAGCCCTATCCGTTGTGGCTTGGGTGCCTCCCACGTCTTCGGGCGCCGTCTCTTCCTGAGCCCCATCTTGGTTGCCTGCGCATAATGTGACCAAGGTATGGTAAGGTTGGAATTCAAGGGGGCAGGGCTAAATAAAAAAGGTAGATGAGAGGAAGGAGAAGGAAATAGGACGGTACGAGGGAAATAACAGAGAAGAGAGGAAAGCAAAAACCACCCCTTCCCGGGAAGGTGGGTTGGAAAATGAGAATGGAGTGTGAACGAAAACTCGTAGGTAGTAGGATAAAAAAGTCAAGTCATCATGAATGTTACCTTGGCCGGTCGCCTCTTCACTCATGAAAGAAGAACGCCCCTCAAACCCGTTCCAAGCCTGTATGAGCACCAGGGAGGCATACGAGGACGGCCTTATCCCATACTGGATGCGCGTCGTAGCTCCATAATTCAGCCACATCCGGCCACTGTACCTCCACAGTGGCTGTTTCGTCGCGTAAACCGTCCGCATTCTCCACCCCCCCATCTCCAACCGCGCCTCCTGATCGAGGTTGAGCCATTCGATCAGGTAA